AATAGACGATCAAATAAGATTAAAAAAAACTATTTCTCTATTGTTTTGTTTTAGATTTCAAGTTAATATTGCTGGTTGACATAAAACAATCGATATTAATGATCATCGAATCTGAAGATTCCATTTTTCATTTGTACATCATATTGATATCTTCAGATCAAACATTTATACAATTTTTATTTGTTATGCATTGTTTTATCATAATTTTTGCAATTCAAAAATTGTTTTCTTATATTAAAAGAGAATAGTTTAATAATCTTATGTTATCTGATAGTATTTATTTTTTGGTCGTCTTCCAGTCATCGAATCAATAGTTGAGTCGTCGATTATATTGACGTGTTTTTATGATTGCATGGTTTGTTGGTAAAATATATGAAAGAGTGTTTTATTTCTAATCGATCGTGTATGAATCAGATGAAGCAGCTGCCTATAAATTATTCAAAGCCTTCTTAGTAATTAATCTGCTCGTCAGTCATGCATTGAAAATGCTCTAGGGAAATACCGCATGTTTACATCTTACATTCACTGACAACGATAAGGATTATGATAGTGTACACAAAAACAAAATAACAATGTTTATGCTTCATTGGTTTATTATAAACAAATGTAAGTATATAAGCAGCTTTTATTTCACTTGTATACAATAATTTGACGACAGTAACTACACTCTTGTTTAACTGTGATAATTTATCGACAAATACATAAATGGTTCGAGCTGTATTCGACACTCGTGCTGGTCAAGGCATGAATCCATGCAGTCCACCACCACCATCACCATCACCATCAATTCGCTGTCCACCACCACCATCACCACCAATTCGCTGTCCCCCACCATCACCACCACCACCACCAATTCGCTGTGCTCCACCATCACCACCGCCAGTGTTCTGTCCTCCACCACCACCACCACCTCCACCACCAGTGTTCTGCCCTCCTCCTCCACCGCCGCCACCACCAGTGTATTGTCCTCCACCACCACCGCCACCACCGCCACCACTAGTGTATTGCCCTCCACCACCGCCGCCAGTGTTTTGTCCACCACCAC